TATGATGATCCCAATCAACAAGAAAGTAATAAACTGTATAATACACTTCTTCAAAAGATGATACCTCACACTCAATAGTAATAAAATACTAAACAGCAATGGCTTTGCTCAAGGTTGTGGCCCCAGCACCAATCAGCATATATACGAAACAAATCCAAACAATAACGAACCCAAACTGTAAATGGTTCCAATTTGCCGACGACTTTTTCCTAGTATGCTCCCACAAATCACAACAACAAACTGAAATTTTACTGCAACAAAAAATTGAGCGATTTATCAACGAATACCAAAGCCTTAAATTGAAAATAAACCCGAACAAAAAGAAAACAATATATTTCAATAATAAAAATTCACAAATCCACCTCGGAATAAACAACATCCAACTAGAACAAGTCTCAAATATCAAATACCTTGGCAGACACATAAGTATAAACAATGCTTACGCAAATCACATAAACCAAATTGTAGAAAATACCAACAAAACATGCTGCTTCCTGAACATCTTAAGCGGATGCAAATTCGGAATCGCTTCAACCATGCAAAGGCTTTGCGCGGGCAAAAATGGAATATGCAGCGTCGTCCTTTTTAAACTTACCACAATCAGCAAAAATAAAACCGAATACATGATGCAACGCTCACCTCAGACGATGACTAGGATTAGTTCGCTCAACGCCAGTTCATGTCATCTACCATATGGACACCGAGCTACCATTCAAATTCAGATTAGAGATGACAACAGCAAAAGAAATCACCAAATGTATAGCATATAACCTACCAGCCAAACATATGATATTAACTAACAAACTCAACAAAAGAACAAGTTATTATATCGTCTAAAAAAAATATAAAATTATATTCCTCAACATTGCCTCAATCAAAAACAAACCATAATAATATGCAATACTATAATAACAATATAAAACATGGAAAAGAAAAGGACCATATTTACAAAAACACGCAAAATAAAACATATATGAAATATATATTAAGCTACAATATATCTATATATATATATATATATATAAATACAACAAATTGGTGTTAACGAAATCGCTGAAAATCATCAACATTTCCCATTTTGAATGCAGTGGAGTCTGTAGCGCTTCTAACAAATACATCTCCTCTCATAGACAGTCTTTCGAAATTGCCAAACTTGGCTTCAATTCCTATAGATGTAAGAGGAATAGCCGATTTTGTTCTCTTTGGACATAGAATGCGCGGAGAGTGCGCGTGTGATCAGCAGGAGACAAATTTCGATATCTGGCGTACTTCACCAATACAAATAATTCGTATGCAGACCTCTGAGCTTTTTTTTTAAAGAAACCGCTGAGCTTGGAATGTAAGCACTGCTTAAAAGCCGAAGGTTAAGAAAACATAAAAGATGTACTGCTAATGACAAATACATCCACAAAATAGTGGCAGGCAAGTCACCTACGGAGAGATCAACAGGAGGATCCGGACTGGAAACTCTAATGCATGGACTCGAGGTTAACACACGACCGAGTAAAGAGCAAATGTCTGCAGGAAGTCCAATTGCAAACGCGTGATAGGTGCAATGGAACAGTTTATAGTTTACATCTGGCTCTTTACATAGAGCATTGGAAAGCGAAGATTCCAAGATATGTGCCAGATATATTCGTATTTCCAAATGACAGCTCTGCATCCCCTCTCAGATGGTGTGATAGAACGACTAAATTGGACCCTGTAAGAGCACTTGAGGAAGGTTGAGGAGGTCAAAAAGCATGATGATTGAGATATTTCTGATGGCATATCGGTCCGCAGTGCACGAAACAACAATTAAAATACCAGCAAGGACACTCTTTGGTAGCGAACTTCGATCGCCTAGTGATTTAAAGTTTGGAGTACATGATGATGCAAAATGAATTGTGAAGGAAGCGTCTAAAACACTAGAAGAACAGCTGCTTCTGTGAAACATCGAACTTAAATCATGGACGACAAGATGAAGGCCAAATATAAAAAGGCTATGAAAACTGCGGGGTTTACAGATGGAGATTTAGTGTAATATATAATCCACTACGGAAGAATGGTTTGTCCCCGGAACTTCGAAGAAATCGGCAAGGTTGGTATAAAGTAATCAAGTGGGAGAATTATGTAACATATTGAAACTAAACTGTTGGGAAACCGAGAGACAAAATGAAAGTGGCCCACTGGAGTGTGATAGTTGTAAAGCTAGTAGTCGTGTATGGTAAAATAAGTTGTGGTTTATTGAGTAATATATAAACGTTGATTGAATTCTTTAATGAAGAAATTTTAAAAAATTTTGGGTAACTTTTATATAACAACCTATTGATTAAACTCATCGAGGCTTAATTTGAAAAATCGTAACAATATAATAAAATAAAAAACACAACATACAGTGGCAAAAAAGCCAAATACGAATGATAGATGAAAAGGGGATGTCGATAACTGAAGCACATTCGAGGGCACGAGTACCGAATATTCTGTATATCGTAGGATCATGCCAGAAATTTCTAGAGCTGAGTACGATCACCCTTAATTGGGTATATGAGGGAGCGGCAAACGCGTTCGTGAAAAACATCGTTACAAAGTAAGCTCGGTAAAGCGGAACAAAATGTGTGGTTATAGAATTATATAGTTTATAAGGTTTGTTTATTGAATTGCTCTAAGTTACGTTAGGTTACTCTATCATATACAACTCTACTATTTATTTCATGAGTCTACTCTAAGCAGAAATAGAGCAACTTAGAGAATGATTTTTTTCTGTCTTTTTTTGTAGAGTAACATAGAGCGAGTAAAATAATTGTTTTGACAGATCTGTCTGCCAAGTTTTTATTTAAAAAACTGACTACAGCAAAGAAACATTGAGTAAATAAAAAGAAAATAATAAACTGAACTACTCTGAAGTTATTCTTTTCTCATCATCATTAGGCCATTTAAATATTTAAATTTTAAATATTGGACTTCCGGCTTATAAAATAAATAACCCTGTTTTGAGAATATTTCCGCTTGTAGTTCCAATAGAGACATTAAAACGATCTAAAATATCTCGAATTGAGCAGCCCCTCGCAAACCTAAGAAATAATGCTAAATGCATTTTGGCACTATACACTTTAATTTTGTTCAGCTTTTGGAACTCTAAGCCTTTCAAATACTTTTCTCCTTTTCATCTGTGTACTTTGGAATTACTTCTTTGGAGAAAGTTTGGGAAACTTTTCCTTTATGGTTCCAAGCTTTGGGAAAAATTAAATATAAGGGGTGGTAGGGGCTCCACCCTCTCTTAGAAACCGAAAACCAAACCTACCGGAGACCTATAGTTTTCGAGATATTTACATTTGGAATAGAAAAAAAATTGAATTTTTACCCTGTTATTTTGTAAATAGTGTCATTACTGTGAATTTTGGTGTTGCCACATATAAAAAAGAAATTCTAAAATAAAACAACTAGAATAAAATTTTTATACTTTATATGTATATATTTTGATTGTAACCCTTAGCCGGACCAACACCGGCTTCGCCTTGCACAGTATTTTTAGGCGAAACTTCTTTGTAAATTGGGGGCCTTCGGCCGCGCTTTTGATTTTAACCCTGAGCCGGACCAACACCGGCTTCGCCTTGCATAATATTTTATGTCATTGCTTTCATGAAGTATAAAAAATGTTTTTAAATTATAATTGTATTTACCCCTGTACAGTATTATACAGTACAATATCGAAATAATATACAAAAATAAAATAATATTTTACTGCTAACCAAATAAAATAAAAATACAACAATTTTTGGTAATCGCATGTGAACAGATTAAAGTTAGTTTTTCTCATCATGTATGTTAAATAAGTACACGTGCTAAGTAAAAATTTTTGATGAAAGTGTAAATTTATTAACAACAAATTATGTATAATTTATAAACATTTATGTTCTAATTTTAATAAATAAACATAGATTAGATCAACAGCAACAACTGCAAATTTCATTAGGATTGGTTAATTAGTTTGGCTGAAACAAGCATTGGAGCCATAATGGAAAGCACAGCCGAAAGTTTCGATACAATTTCTTTTATTCCTCAAAGCGGCAAGTACAATCAAATCATCGTCTTCTGTAGCGACGGAGCTCTCAATTTCATATCAAACTTTTAACTTTTTTGAGAATTTCTACCTAGAAAGTGTTTTATGAGACTTCTAGCCCGAGTTGCTCTAACTTGCTCTTTAGTTTTTTTACAGCTGCTCTATTCCACTTATACTTACTCTGTTCTACTTTATTTTCAGTCTCAATAAACAAACCTATAAACTTTGTGAGATAGTAGAGTGCTAGAATTGTAAATTAAGTCGTGGTCTATAGTAAACTCAATTGTTATTTATTGAGTAATGAACAAACGTTGATTGAACTCTTTACAATTAAGAAATTTTATAAAAGTTTAACAATTCAGTGACCAAATTCGAAGGATATTTAGCGAAATTCATAACGATAAATATAATATACATATAAATATAGCTTTGTGACGAGCTAAGTAATTCCATTCGTTATTGAAGAGAGTTTGGACTATTTAGCTGATATTGAAGTGCGTTGAATCTAGCTGTTATAAATCATTAATGATTACAGTTTCAAGAGGTGGTAGCACGAATTTTGAGCGCCAAATAATTTTGGTTGGTTTTTTAAAGATCCTTTATTATTGTTAATTTCTTAGAATTTTTTTTTTTGGTTTATAACTAGTGGAAATATGATAATTTACGTTGTTGCTGCGACTGATGGATATCGAATAGAGTTCAACTCAACTTGAACATTATTATTTGTATTGTTGGTTTGCAAAATTATTGTTGGCAATTCTTCACATTCTTCTTTTCATGTTAATTGGCGGGGGTATTTTTTTTTAACATGATTTGAATAAGTATTCATAAAGGATCTCCTTGGCAATGTTAAACCCCGGTCTATTCATAACCAAGCAAGACTAGTCGTGAGTCATAGAGTATCTTCTGGGTGACACTTAAAACGGGCTTTCGTTTTTTTTTGTGAAGGTGGTAAGTAGATTTGTTTGGCAAAAGAAGTGTTCAGTGTGTTCAGGCGGGTCTACCGAGCAGCATTTAGGTTATTCTGCTACAATTAAGGTCCCGATTGAGTAGCAGACTCAACGCATACATATTTAGACTCTATACCAAAAATTGTCCTGCCAGCAATGATTCTGGGCTTGCAATTAAAGATCCATTGCTCTATACACATATAAATATTCATTCTGAGAGCTTACTACTTTCCCTAATAGTTCTGGGCTTCAACCAAATCGGCCCTGCTTGCCAACCTTATATTGGCACTGGATCTGTCATAAGCTCCTCATTATCGCCGGGATAGAAGATGTGGATCTTGGAGTATCTGAGTTGTCGACAGCCGTCTTAGAGTTTCAGGGTCAAACTTTAAACTCTGTAGTATTAAACACGGAGCTTATCAGATTAGAGCCCTCTTCTAACTTCTGTTTAATAATCTATGTTTCGAAACTGGTGGAAAAGGCAATTTTTTTGAAGTCATATGCCAACAATTGTTCGCTATTGGTGTCTAACCATCTCGTCTTTCTTTCCCATATGCTGAGGAAAAGCCAGAGAAACATTGCACACAAAAGGCGAACTACGCTGCTCCGATTTAGACGCCGGGGACTAGCCAGATCCATTAACCACCCATTGCAAACGAAGAGCTCTTGCTGCCTTGAGAGTCCGGAATATTGCTGGCACAATTAAGATCTATTTATTGTAGTCGGATAAATTATTTTTAATCCAGTACCAAAACTTTGCATGCCTTAAAAAATCTGCTCATCTGCACCACTTTCCTACTGCCCGGTTAGAAGCGGGATTGGGTAGTCGCTACAACAGTAACAACAACAGACGCAGAGTTTGAAAAGATGGCTGAGTATCCAAATATATTCATGTATTGCCTAAAGCGGAGATAAGGTGATATTGTTGTTTTAGCGGCTACGTTTACAAATTAATTCATCTAAATCGCCGAGGTCGTCTATTGGGAGGTCCAGGAAACGTACTGTTTCGACGGGATGGGACCAGATGAAGAGGGAGACTGGTCGAGTTTGGATTGATAGGAGTTGAACCTGCTACAGTATCCAGACCTAAGTTGTGCTCTCAACTCTCAAGACAGCCGGTTCTCTACGCATCGGAGTTGACTGGATTTATCCGGCCAAGGGCTGTCACCCTTTTGGCGATCTAACCCCTTTAAGTCAACAGGTAACATTAATCTGTACGCCGTGTTGTTGTTGTTTTACGTAGTTCTGTATGGTATACTTTAATACTCCCACTCTGATGTGCCTAGGTGGAGTTTCGGCTTCTAAATGATATTCACTCATAGCAAATGATATTCCCTGGCGAAATGAGATAAATTAATTTTCTTTAATTCTCCCAACTTGTCTGTTGCTTAAATAAGAGTTAAATTAGAACTGTTTAGCGAATATGAAGACATCGGCAATGTCTTGTTGTCCAGATGAATGAGAGCACAATTTGTTAATATGAAACCGAGCAGTCCAGACCATAAGCCTCATTATGCTCAATAATAATTATTTCCAAATATCGGTAAACTGCTGTTGAACTACTTTTTCAATTAATATGAATTTAAGCAGTAATGCGCATACACGTGTGGATTCAGCTGATCTGAGAGCTTCTTCGCCAAATAATTTCCATACCGCCGAGTATAATTCTGATATAAAATATAAATCCTGTAATAATTTAATTTGAAAAATGATTAAGCTAAATGTTTCTCTATTTTATATACATATGTATATTGAGTCGCATAACACACAATGTATGTTCTTTAATAAACGGAAAATTTCTAAAAAAAAAAACTTCCATTGTAATATTAAATTTCTACATATTCATTTTTTTTATAATTTTATGTTGCAGGAAACAAAATGGATTCGTGGATAAGAGAAACTGCACTGTCTGATAACCAAGATTTATCAATCTCTTGCTTTAAAATGATAAGCTGGTTAAGTACTGAATTTTATGGGGCATTAACGTATAAAGAAGTTGAAACTATCCTTATTTGTGCTGCTTTTGTAGACATCATCGTAGATATTTCTGGAGAGGACTTTAAAAATGATTTAATAAAGAAATATCCACATCATAAGTTATTTTTAAAGGACTTTTTTAGAAAATTAAAAGAAATTAGTGTTACACAATATTCAGCCGCCAAAATATTAGCTACTGAAGATGGTTACAAACACGTTTATACAGTTGAAAGTATTTTGAAGCATTTTAATGTTGATATTTCCGTAGTATACAACTATAAGATGCCTTCAAGAAACGTATGTACGGAGACTCCAAAGTATAAAATGCTGGTGTTAGTTGAGAAAATTTTTCAGTTGGCACCTGAAAACATTGATATTGCCGTGGACAGGTTGTTCAACTGCTGTGATTTCTCATTGCTCGGTTACATATTCTTAGAACCGCTAAGCAGCATTCATATTAGTAAATATAAGATTATAGAGCATAAAATTTGCCAAAAGATCAGCGACAAAAATGTTAATCATTCTTTTATAAAATCGATGTACATGACATCTGCGAATTCAGTTAAGGGTGCCAACTTTTATAAATCATGTTTTGAAAATGTGGTTTTTGGTAATAGTTTAACAAATTTCTTCATCGCATATTTTAATAATTTCGAAAAAGAAGATTACTACAAGTCATTAAATGCTCAACATAAACTATCTGATATTATTTTTCTGGTAAATTGTGCGTTGTCTTCGAAGTCTTCTGCGCTTTCGAAATTAATCGAAAGTATACGTAATAACACAACAATTAAACATCTTATAAATAAGTCATTTTTCAATTATAATTAATAGTGAATTATATATGCACATATTTCTCACACATGAAGTATATTTTACCTCCTTTTATATTATAGAAGGATTTTTTCTTTGCATTGTTAATAATTAAACCAGACTGAAGTCATTCAGTAAAATAATATACATAAATATATAGAGAACTTGTCAAATGTATACGAATGTTCAAATAGATACTGTAAATAGATAATTCATTAACAATAAAAGAAAACATCCCTTTCCGTAACTTATTTTTGTACATTTTTATAAAACTTATTTGGAAAAATCCGTTCGAAGGCAAGCCAAAGAGGGAAGCCGAACAAAGCCTCGAATGATAGACCACCTTTCTGATAATGGCCATCGCAAAGTGTGGTCTTTTAATTGCGAAGGCGTCGCTGCCCAGCCGTAGTGCAAATACACGTGTGGATTTTTTGACCATTGGTATAGACTCGCTGATCTGAGAGCTTCTTCGAGGTCGATGATCTCGTTAAGTTAAAGGATGACATCATCGCCGTCCGATCGACGGAACATGATGGAGAAGGTGGGTCCTTGTGAAATATATACAGCGGTCATATAAAGGGGCGTAAGTTTGACGTCGGATTTGTACTGGGAGAGACCGTCGCCGATAACCGCATTGCCAGAAAAAAAAGCTGGTGGGATGAGGAATGTTGAACTGCGATGGAGCGAAAACAGATTGCTTATCTAGCAACTTTACGATAAACCACAACACTTGCTGGGTTGGATAGATACTGACATTTAAAAAGGGAAGTCAGGGCATACTCATGTAGGAATCAATGTGGAAACCCGGTGAGAGATATTCAGAGCTAACTTGGTTTATGAAGAGCTCTTCAAACGCGGCTGTAAAGAGATAAGGTGCATACTTCTGCGTCTTTGTAGAATATGAACGGACTAAAGCATGTCCGATGATATAAATCTAAGTGTGCTCTCTGCCAATTCATAAAAAAGGGGAACGTCACGGTCGCCGTCGAAATGAAGTTCTCTCGAGCCTATTGTATGAAAGCCTAAACCCACTGTTAGCAAGCTGATTAGACCCTATCAGTGCGGCTTCAATCCACCATTGACGAAATATTCACCATGTGGCGATTATTGGAAAATACCCGTGAGACAGAATTCCCAACTCTCAAAACAGCCGGTTCCAACAAAGGTGAGTCATATCGGCCGATAACTCTCCTCTACACAGTAGCGAAGACTTTTGAGGCCTTGCTGTTCCCGACCTTCACTCACCATCTACGTCCAGCAGCACATCAGCATGGCTTCCGAAAAGTGCACAGCACCACAACAGCACTAAACGTCTAAACACCCAGATAGTCAACGGCCTTAAGTACTAGATCTTAAGGACACAATCCAGCAACATGTGTAACAATTGCTGGACAGGACGGCGTACAAACAAGCACTGAACGCCATTCACCAGGAGTCAGTCAACACCTTCAAGGACTCCCTTCCACTGAATGACGTGCTCGGAGAAAAACCACCACCTATAGCAGACAACGAGTTCGAGCTGCCTCGAGAGACCCGCGTGACACTGACACAACTCAGGTCTGGATACTGTAGTAGGTTAATCTCCTACTTATCCAGACTAGACCCCAGCATAGCCAACTTATTCCCTGCATGTGGAGAATCCCCACACTAACGACACTAACCACATTTCCACATGCCCTTTCAAACCAACTCATCTAACCCACTCTCCCTTTTATCCGACCAAGGTCTGTCACCCTTTCGGCGACCTAACCCCGTTTAGGTCGACAGGTAAGACTAATATAAGTTCGCCGATGGAGCAAGATCTCGCAACTGGTTGTCTCCAAATCCTTCTTATCAGCAGGGCTGGCGTCGATGCCAACCCTGGTCCGACGGATTACTTCTGCTGTGTGTGCCATAAAAGACTCTACCTCGGTTAGGTGCAACCAGTGCAATGGTTGTAGTCAACTTAAGACCTGCTCAGGTCTTAAGACCAATAGGGAGTAGACCACGAGTTATGTGGCTCCATCCTGCCAGCGTCCGAGCGCACCTCCAGCCACTACCCCGTTGCCTTCAGCACCCTTACCCTTGCATTCTATAAATTTTCCTTGCAACAATACTTTGCAAACTTTGACGTTTTGGAACGTTTTCGTGCAAATAAGTTGCTTTTAGGTGAAAGGGCTAAAATATGAAGCAGAGCAAAAAAAAATAAGTAGTACAATGTTGAAAAATAATATTTGTCTCAAAAAACTTGCCCTCCTACGCCGGCCGTTGTTGTTAAAAATTTATGATAAAATAAAGCTTCACAAACCTTAGCGTTGCGCAGTTTGCTTTTGTTTGCGCATCCATTTCCAAAATTTCCCTTCAAAACAATTGTACATAAAAAGAATATTCAGACCATTGCTATTTTATTAAAAATATCTTGTACTAATAATTAAAGTACATAAAATCAGAGTCTTAAATACTTATGCAAATATTTATTTACATAACATATGCGTGTACATCAGCTTGATGTATATCTTAAGAATATAATCTTGAAATATCACTATTTTCTTATTTTTTATCTATATCCAATGTTCTTCCTGCTATGAACGCACGTTGCAAAGAAGCGGGGTATCTTCGGCAGCTTTTGAAACTATAATTGTCGTTTTTGAAGTACTAGGTTCTGCATCTCGGTCCATCGTATTTTTTGAGTTGGGTTCAGTCTGAAGATATATAAACAAGAAAAAATATTTAATTTTTTTCTCTCTTGTTATGTTATAGGTCAAATATATGTATCTACAACAGAATAAAACATTTGCAAGATACTAAACCAGCGCTAAGTAGACCCAGGCAAAAATAATGGCGTTTTTTTTTTAAACCGGCTGTGTACGAAGAACACATGGAATATCATCAAGTAATGAACTTGATTAGAAAAACAGTATTGTGTTGCAATAGACAATTTACAAGGAAATTGTATTACATTTTATAATTTAACTTCAAACCGACTTTATTAATGTAATATAATTTAACCGAATGCCATTGCCAATGCTAGTTTTGATTAGTACCAACTAAGAAGCATGTATAAAACTATTTATACGCGGACGACATCATCCAAAATTCCAAGTGAAACACTAAGTTTCCGACTGTAATGATTCAATTTGTTTTTTTTTTTTACCTCACAAGTTGAGCGCATTTGACAACTCGAGCCAGGCTATCATTGGTTATACACTAATAGTTTTAAAGTCAGTACTTACATTATTTTTATGTAAATTATGTAAGTACAAGGTACTTAGGCACATGTCTGCCACTGTGATGTCAATTGGATTCGATACTTTGGTGTCTATTCCATATAAGCTGTAAGGAAGGCAAAGTGTATGTAATGATTAATAATTCGGATACAATAATAAAAACGATCTTTAAAATTGCTAAGAACTCTTTTTACGTTCGTTAATATATTTAGATATACGCAAGTTGTACTTACTTATATAGAAGAGCTTCAGAAGGTCCTTCCAATCGACCTTCTACTTTATTTATACGCATTTTGCGCATATTATCCCGAGAGGAAGTCTGTAATCTTAGAATACTGCCGTCTTGCTCGCCAAGGCTTCGCTGAAGCATTTGCTCAAAACCGCTTGTTTGGGGGAGAGTTTGTATAGGATGTGCTGATTTGTCTAGACATCTAGATTGATACATAGACTGTTTTAATGATGAAGTCAAAAGTTCAGCTCTTTGAACATTGTGGGCATTAAACACTGATGTTGCCAAAGATGAATACTAAAAAACATAAAATATATAATTTCATAATACTGATAATGCGCATCATAATGTGTTTACTACAATACCTCATCGATTGTTCCGAATGATATTAAACTTTCAGTTATAGGATTTGGTTTGGTTTCAGAATCGATGATCATGTCATTCTTTAGCTCCTCAGCAGCATGCTCTCTAATATCGTTTAAAAAATTAACGGCATCAGGTGGGGCTTTCCATTCTGGATTGGTTAAAGTGAATCGGATTAATGAAAGTTCTATTTTTCCATTTTCGGCTTCGCTCTTGGTAGAAATATCATGTTCTACTCGTATTTTTTGTTTGTTATTTTTCTTAGGAAGTTGCCAATCTGGGTTACCATGTTTACGAACGTCCATTTGAGCAAATGAGCACACGTTGCCGACTCCCTTTACACTAACTGTGAAACTTCTAAAGAATTTTACAAGTTCCAATGCTTTTGGTCGGAATACAAAGAGTAGTATAAATGGGGTTATAAGTGGGCTAAAAATCTCATTTAGCATATAATTCTGTAAAAGTTTAAAAAAGTGTCAATTTACATATTTCCGATATAAAAGTTCCAAGTATTTGAACTTACAGCCTTATATTGAAAAATGTTTTCCAATTCTTTTCTCACATCAGCCGTGTGAGCCTTATTTTTCCAATGAGATGGTAAATAGTGAACGTGTGCTAATATAGCGGTCATTAATTGTTCGGGACACCATATCAAATTTTCATCTGGTATCAAAGTTCTAAAATAGTAAATGATTTTTTACATACATTCAAATTAACAATGCATTTATCGTAAATAAACATATTCATGTACATATGTACATATTCGTTTCTACAAATTTCGATTCTGCGCGGTAAATTTGAAAAGTACAGAGCAAGACAATGTTCTCAATGAATGCAAAGTAAATCAGATTAGGTAGTGACGTATACAGTACCGAAAGTGACGAAGCAGCGGTACTATAAATATACGACTCCACTCTTATCCCGATAATCCCCTAAGCAGGGATCTCAATCAGGAGGCTCGGCGAATAGTCAACATTCATATGCGGAATAAGTGGAAATAACGCTTAAGATCTTGAGACCTCTCCTCAGGGGTAACGAAACTTTGGGCCACAGTCAAATAATTGCCAAACCCGAGGAAGCGCCACGACCATGTGCAAATATCAATCGGTGACCATAGATGCGCAAGCCGTTTCAGCCGACATTTTACACTGCAGCCTTACGGTTGACAAAATTAAGCGATAAGTTGTCTGAGCAAACTAACAAACACCAACGATACGCTTGACGTCTTCAGGGAATGCTGATGCGGGAGCAGAATTCCTCACCTTAGTCCTCAATCTGTTTTTGATCACGCTAAACTCGCCAACAAAAGAATGCTCTATCGGCCGATATTTCTCCTCTCATCAGTAGCGGAAAATCATGAGGCACATCAGCATGGCTCTCGCAAAGTGCACAGTGCTAGAACAGCACTCAACGCCATAAGCACTCAGCTAGTCAACAGCCTCAAACAAAAGCGGCGCTGTGCGCAAACTGTCCTCGTTACACTGGATCTGTCAAAAGCTTTTGAATCCTCATTACCGCCGAGGTTGAAGTGGTCATCAATCGTCAGTAGAAATTCGAGCTCTAAAATCGAAGCTCAGAAAGATTAAACTAGGATGGTGTCCTCTGCCCATTATTGTTCAACTTCTATGACTCGAAGCTCTCTCCTCGACCAGAAAGGGCTTCCTTGACCTTTTTGGCCGATGATTGCTCAACATTGACGGCTGGCCAGGATATTGATAACTTATGTTCGAAAGTAAACTACTATCTCGCCAACCTTTCTCTCTTCTTCACTGCAAGACAAATAACAATTCAACCGATAAAATTATCGGTTACCCTTTTAACCCGCTGGACGAAAGAGATCAGGCTCTAACTCGATGTGAAAGACGGTGGACACTCTTTCACTTAGCATACGAAGGCAATTGCCGCGTAAATCCAGTGCTGAAACAAAATCCTCAAAGCGCTAGCCGGCAGCACCTCGGGGAAGGATAAAAAACTTTGTTGGCAGCAATTGACGGGCCGGTCGTAAAATACGCTGCATCGATCTGGGCAAGGAGGAAAACCGACACGCAGTTAGAGAAGTTATAGGCCTGTCAAAACATCGTCCTCCGGACCGCAACAGGGAATCTTTTGATGTCTGGGATACTTGAAGGATTCAATTCGGCAACATGTGCAACAACCGCTGGACAGACGGCGGGCAGACATGCACTAAACGCTAAGTCAGTCAAAATCTTCAAGAAATATCACCCTGTGAATGACGTCCACGAAGTCAAACCACCGCCCTTAGCAGATGAAGAGCTTGAGCTGCCTCAAGAGTCCCGCGCGATACTAGCGCAACTTAGGTGTGGATTTTGTAGATTGTAAAATCCTACCTATTCAGATTCGACCCCGACATACCTAACGTAAGCCCAGCATGCAACTTAAAACCAACACATCTAACCACCTTTCCCTTTGGTCCGAACTTGGATTACTAGTCTATCCCTAAGCGGGGTTGGAAAATCAGCTACAACAACAACTAAACTGGTAACAACAAATTACTGATGAACTATCCGAATACGTATCTTAATTGGCAACCAAGAAACTATTATGTTAATTGATAGTACAAAGTTCTGTTTCAGTTAAGCAATAGTGAAATCAAGGAAAGTCTTAAACACAAGCATGTATTTATAAAGTATGTATTAAACAATTTCTTACCGACACATGAATCCGATCAAGCCGAGAATTGTGATAATAGTTATTACGTGTTCGACTTGGAAAACGAATTCATCGTATATACCAAGTGTTAATAATAGTGCTAATATTCCGCCACTTAGAAATAGTATATTCCTGGAAATTATTTGATTAAAAATAAAATTTTTTAATTTTTTTTTTTATAACTAACTTGGCAATGACCGTCATCAAAGGAGAAGAGAATGAGCTCAGGTATCTGTCAGCATATTCATATGCGCGATTTAAGCGTGCATCCAACTCATGATCTAATTCGTTAAAATGACGTAAATACAAGCGTCCATAATTGGACCAGGTTCGCATTCCCAATGTTCCTGGCTCCTTTCGCAAAATCTGTTATTTAAATACATAATATATGTACATATATACATAATGTAATTTTTTTCTAAAAGTTATGCTAATAAATTTAATCAAATGTAAGTTCTTTGCAACGCCTTTATAATCCTTAATTTCGAAATAAATTGCTGGAGATTTGTTGATATTTTTACTTACATTTATATATGAGAATGAGAAATACAAACACTGCCACACAAAAATCACTGGAGCTAATATTAAATTAGCAATAGCTACCCAAATAATAAGTCTTGATAATCGTTGAGCTAATTCGACTTGGTTACTACGGAAATTGAAATCATCTCGCAACTGCCAGTTATTTTGAAATGGCGAACCGGGCCCTCCTGCGTAAAATTAAAGTATACATAATAAGTAAATACACTAGCATATACATATGTATTCTAGCTGCTGTATATAAAAATATTGTATAAAAAAATACACATGTTCAATAAAATTGTATTTAACTTACTGAATAGTATAACTTCTATATTAAACAAAAGGCCTTTGCTTAATGTTACACATTCTCCAAACAATGGTACATTAAATTTCACTGGTAAAAGGTTTTTGTTCATGAGGGCAACTAAAAAATTTTTAAATCTGAAATGATAGAGATATGAAATTAGAAACGATATTGACTAATGCCATATTATTTTTTTTTTAATAAATACAATATGTACAAAAATCTACTTACCTCAAAATTCGATGATATATATCCAATTCAGTTATTTGCTCTTTATCAATACACATATGCTGTTCGGACTGAACTTCTCTAATCTTCATTTTTACTTCGTGCCATGTAGTATTGTCTATTTCTTTCTGTGGAAACATTCAAATTTTAGTTTAAGTTTTCAGGCCAAAGACTTATTGTCTAATATCACATAATATAGTCTTTATCATTATATCAATACGAATATTAAATATTTTTGGTTTATGAAAAGTATATTCCTGAAAATAATAGTGCACATAGCACACTACAAGTTGTAAGCTCAATGTGTACCAGATCCACAGCAAATAGGGCTATGGCTTTTTTTTTTGCAAATGGAGGATACGGTTAAAATTAGGAAATTTTTAAGATACTGATATTTTTATGTCAAAAATACGATCAATATTATCAATTTTTGCTTTGTTATGGTCTGGGCTTCAACTCATGGCCTTCTCCTTGGATAAATTTTTAAAATATAGAATATTCTTAATATTAATGGTTTAAAATATATGTTTTCTCTTTACTTACGTCTTCTATATGTAGAGCGCTTTGATAAAATTTCTTCATATCCAAGTACTGTGTTATCAAATAGAGAACTCGGAGAAAGCGGACTATGAAAAACATTATTGCTAGAAGGAGCAATAGATATGTAGCACCGTTAAAATTAGCTATGCATTGCCGCGTTGGAATAACGACATCTTTTAAGGTAACTTTAGAGTGGTTGCTTAGTGGTGCTTCGTTTCTGTTAATTATAAAGAAAAAATAAACTTACAATAGCCGTGATTACATATGTATATGTATGCATGCATAGCAATGTTCGGATTTCAAACTAAAATGTTTAAAATTTGTTTTTGCAGCCATGCTATATATTAATTTTTATTAAGTAAACTACGAGGCCTTTTTGTTTGTATGAATTGAATATTTGTTATACAACAACAATTTAAGTGTGTATGTAAATACAAGAAAAAAAAATCAACATAAAGTTATTTATTTTTCTAGTAAGTAAAAGTAAATAAACCATTATAGAATTTATTATACTTAATCAATTTGATTGAATCATCCAAAATTGCAACATTTCAAAATATTAAAATCTGATTTACGGTGGCCAACTTGATGGTAGTAGTTGAGCATATGAGATTTAACTTTTTTAGATATAAATTGAAAATATACATAAATGAGTAAGAACAATTTCTTAACAACTGTGTCAGAGAATAAGCAAAACGATGGCCAGTTCTTCTAAACTTTTATATAAATATTTGAATCAGTTCCAAACGAAAAACACACCTGATAGTAAAATAATTAATATTAAAAAGAAAATAAAGAATTATTCAACGCAAAGTTACCCAAATAATACAGGATGATCGATGCAATATATTGTGAATGTCAATAACCAAACAACGAAGCCAAATTGAAAAAGTTGAAGAGTCTCATCCAAAACTATTACAGAGAATCCATGATTTTGATGGTAGTTGTACATCCGGGTAAAAAATGAATCCAAATCTTCGATATGATTCCAACGGGCTGAAAGTAAAAAAGTAAATGTAAATACGTATTTTCATTCGTAAATTGTTAAACTATATTTTATTGATCTGGGATTATTGCATTTTCATTATTAACTTCATAAAAATTTTTCGTTACGTGCATTAAGGTCCATATATATCAAGTATAATATTATCTATTTTACCTTTATTTGTCTCGGGAACCACATGAATCATGATTGCGCTATCTCCAGGAGTATCATCATGGTCTTGCATGTGGAATTCTTCACATTCCTTTCTGAAAGGATTGCCCTCATTTAAGGACTGGTAGTTTGTATCTGTGTTTAAAGCCATTTCTGAAACAAATATAGCAAATAAGATGCCAAATTTAATAAAATGAATATAGAAAATAAACTTTAAGTTCTTGTGTATAATTTTTAGTAATTATTACTACATATTTTCAAAAAATTTTGCTACAAAGAACAAAAGATTACAGATGCATAATAAATCACGAAAATTGTGTGATAAATAAGTTAGGTGTATACAGCTACATAGAAGCCGAATTTGTGTGGAGCTTGGGTCAAACTATTAACTGCGTTATTTCTTCTTAATGGGCTTATTTCTTGCGTGATTGAAAAATCACAGATAAAACCCTTTATCGATATGTTCAACAGTAGCGAGCAGATATAATGCTCGAAATGGACGAGTTTCAAAGCATCAATTGCTAAAACAACCATACATTGTCACTCATTCCTAAATGCAACTGTGCAAACTTTGACGACGTTTCATGTTCCAAAATATATCGCAAACAAAAGCATTGCTAAGGTCTGTGAGACTTTATTTTATAATAAATTCTTAACAACAATGGCCGACGTCAGAGATGTTATTTCCAACATCTTTTTTTAACATATTACTTATTTTTTTGATTTGTTTTATATCTTAGTCCTTTCACCAAAAAGCAACTTATTTGCACGAAAAACGTTCCAAAAAATCAAAGTTTGCAAAGTATTGTTGCAAGGAAAATTTATAGAATGCAGGGTTGCATTGAAGAATTTTGACGTTTTGGAGCACACCATACTTTTCCTTTTGTAGCAAAAGCAATGTGGAATTCATGGGTTTTAATAATGATCAGGCCAACATTTAAAGTTATAGAAAAAGGAATTTTTAAGTGTGATAACACTCTAGTAGAGAAGATCACTGATCTGGAAAATTTCTCTCAAAAAATAAAAGCTCATAAAAATTCATGAAAAAAACTTTTAAGACTATAAATCAAGCAAAATGGCAATGAAATGAAAATATTCTGTGGACAAATGAGGGTAAAGTAGTTTTATTGGTGGAAAGCGTTCTCGATCCTATGTTGGAAGATCGCCAAACTCAACAAAAAACTGTAAATTACGGAGGTTTCAGAGTAGCAAGATATCGGGTAAGTTTTTCGTGCTATTCACCGTATAAATACCATCATGGATATAACGGAATACATACTCGAGGAAGTAATGCTGCCAGCTCAAAAGGGGGCTTAGGACAATAATGTGCCTTCGATGGAATGATATTTACAGTCCCAAGATTTAAACCCCACAGAAATTTCGTAGGCTGATGTTAAGATAAAGGTATCCGACCAACAATAATGACCTTTTGGCAAGGTGCAAGAGGCCTAACACTCCATTTAATTACAGAAGTGTCAGAACTTGGTTAATCTCATGGGAAGACGCTGCAAAGCGTAGGGTAACGACAAAATGTTAAAACTAGTATGAATGATAGCTATTCATATTACAATCACATTAAACGATATTAACACAAGTTAACATTTTTGTTTTGACCAGTGCTATTAATTTGACAGATAATTTAATTTTCGGTACTAATTTAAATTAAGTAGTATACTGTTGTGCTATTATTTTAACAGCAGGTGCACATCTTCTTCAATGCTCTTTTTAACTTTCCGTACTATATACAGTATGTCAATTAATTGTTTACGAAATGAAAAAACAAACAAATTCTCTTTTCAACTTAATTTTTATTAACTAAAACAAATTTTTTTAACTTCTTTTTTTAATAATATTAGTCTGAGTAATCTTAACATAAATAATGCACAAAAATTCCAGAATTCAAGACATAAAAGTAAAAGAGATATAAAAATTCAAAAGACAGCAAATATTATGGTGTCAATTAATTGTTTGAAAATATAACTAAAACTGGGAAAATATAGCAGTGTTGGTATTAATAATCGGTATGATGGCTACTTGCATCTATAACTAAAACTGAGAAAATATAGCAGTGTTGGTATTAATAGTCGGTATTATGGCTACTTGCATCTATAACAGCTCGAAGACGACGGGGCATGGACTTAATAAGGTTGTTTAGGTCATAATTTTCAGGTATTTTGTTCCACTTTTCCTGAATGAATTTAATAGGAGCGTTTTTATTAGTTGGGCCCAGTTTGCCCACTCGCTTCTTTTAAAGCCCATAAATTTTCTATGGGGTTTAATCCCGGACTCTGGGCAGGATTGTCAATCACTTTACTGCAACACGCAATGATTTATGTTTGGTATCGTTGTCCTGGAATAGTTTGTACCTTAATTTATTAGGATGTTCATGGTCAACAAATAAAAATCTTATCGCACTCCTTGACAATTCGTTCTAAGTAAAACTCCTTCGTCATCACGTTATTAAAAATTCGGAGCTCGACGAAATGCAACCCCAAACCATTGCAGAAAGCTTACCAAATTTTACTGTTGGAATTTTATTTTTCTGTTGCAAAGCTGTGTTGGGTTTTCTCCAAACTGTACTGGGTCCATCATGATAGTATAACATTATTTTTGTCTCGTTGCAAAAAATAACGTCATCTCAGTATTCCGCAGTCCTGTAAACATTGGTTATAGAAAAGTTGAGCCGCTTCTTAATATTAACTACCGACAACAATGGTTTCTTTCTAGCTATTTGCGAGGAGTACTTGTGTATTTTTAAGACTTTTCGGATTGCCTCGTGGCTTACTGTTTTATGGCAATCATTTTTAACATTTAACGCCAATTTTCTCAGGGTGGTTTGAGGATTACCACTGATTTGCTTAAAAATTTTTAAATAATCCCGTCTAGAAAGTTTCGGTAGTCTACCTCCAGAGTGCTTTAACTCCAGCCTGTTTTCTTTTTGTGCGTGATTAATAATATTATAAATCGGTCTAGGCTTGTTGGAAAACATTTCCACTAATTCCTTAGCCGATTTCCTTTGAGGTAGTTAAAATAAACTAATTGAATAAGATTTTCATTAGTTCGCTGCCAGGCATTGTTAAAAGCGCTAAATCAACAAGATCAGAATTGTCCAAAGCATTAATCGAATTGAATGTAATAGAGCAACCCATATGACGCACGCGTTCACTCGTTTTTTTTAATTTGTGGTACCGTTAATTTTTTTTTAGTTTTATTTTGAATTTGTGGGCATTTTTCAAAGAAGTAATTGACAACGCAATTTGGCGAATTTTAAATTTATTTGATATACCCTATCTACATACATATGAACTTACGTGAAAAACTCAAGTTATACTTGAAAACCAAAACGCAGTCAAAAGGCTCAATATATTATCCTTCCATAAATTGTAAGCGGTTTTCGGTAATTACGAATTAACACCATATTAAAACTCATATTGACATTTGGTGGCCTCTCGCCGCCTGGGCCTTAATCGGACCGTAACAAGGTTGTACTTGCACACTCTGGCGCCATTTTTTAGTGAGAAAAGATTTCCCAGTCTGTGGTTGCAGCGGTGTTAATACGAAATACCGGATTTCCTATAGTTACATTTTTACTTACTACGTTCGATTTGATGTCTTCTCATGAGGGAATGGATATCCGAATTGCAGTTTAAGAGAAGTATTTGAGCAAATGCTTCAAGGAAATTTCTTGGATGTTTGACTAGCAGCGTCCTTGTGGTACGCTGTTGCTCATGCATACCCTCCCACCATTATACACATTTTTTTATATCGTTTATAAAATCCTAAAATTGTTTGCAATAAATAAGGTTAAAGCAGCGTTAATATGTATAAAAATATGTTTCTTTATAGGTAAAACGTATATATTTCAAATACAAAGTGCGAACGACCTTGACTGGTTATGTACATAAATACCCATATATTTATATCCGTTTTTTTAATAATTTACTGTTGACTAACTAAATAAATAAACATTTTACACTTTAATGGAGTTGTTTATAATAAAAATAAATGGACGATTATTAATCAAAACTCCATAAAACGTAAAAATTCGTTATTACGTTGTAACCAAAATAAGGTGTCGTATTATTTATCAATTGTTTAGAGTGGTTTTCTGCAACATCACTGCAATGTACTCACCTTTAGGCCTTTAACACTTTTATAGTATATACCACTCTTAATAATACTTTTAGAACTAGCAAAAATTATATAGAGGCAAAGGTTCTCAACACAGTTTCTTCTTTTGCAAAATAAAACAAACTATGGTCCCTCAATGTGTTTATACTATTTTAAAGACTCTACAGCTGTCTTAACAATAAGCTGCCATACTAACAAAAAAAAGTCAAAATCAAAAAAACAGTTAGTGCTGCCACTCTTAGCAAAACACTATTGTGTTACGATGTTGCTAATTACGTCGCGGTATTTTTCCAAATACTTCCAGTCCGATCACTGTAATTAAAAAAGAAACACCCATATGCTATACAATTCCTTTATTATAAAGAATTCAAACATAGTTAATTTATTACTCAATAACTAACAATTCTCCTTCCTATGCACGACGACTTATTTTACTATTCTAATATTTTATTATTTTCACTACCTATACAACTCTCAACAAACACTCAGTTTATTCCGCTATACTCTACACCGATGTTGACGCCACCGTGTTCACTTTGTAACTGACCAGTTTTGCCTTGGCCGATACTTATATCCCAATAGTAAGTCTTTGTTGTCTCTGGATGCTCCTCTTCATCTGCCATTCATATTTGGCATTTTCGCCACAACCGACAATATTTAATAGGTTTGCTGCCAGATGAGTTCCCAAATACTTTGAGATCGTCACTATATTGTTATATAAAATTCACCAAAATATAATATGTTGTTCAGCTTAATTATTGTAAACACACAGTATGGGTGAGTTCCAAAACATTGTTGCAATGCAACCATATGATGTTAATCATTCCTAAAAGCAACTGAGCAAAATTTGACGATGTATCATGACCCAAAATGCATCGGTAAAGTTATTGATACGCAAGGTTTGTGAGGCTTTATTTTATTTAATTCTTACCAAAAATGGTCGACGTAGGAGGGGAAATAACAATTTCATTTAATGTGCGCTAATTCTATTTTTTAACATTGTACTACTAATTATTTTGATCTGTTTTATATCTTAGCCATTTCCCCGAAATGCAACTTATGTTTTACGAAAAGGAATGTTAGTTTGAAAAGTATTTTTGCAAGGAAAATTTATATATATATATTTATATTCCCTTTACGCTATGGCTGTATCGTAGCGATAAATTCCACGTTCCAATGAGTTCTTTTCCCTTGGCTATTTTCACCCATATTTACATCAAAGTCTGCTGAAGGCTAATTGCAGCGTCTGTTCACCAGAGGTGAGGCTGCGAGCTGGCGTCGGTCTTGAAGCAAGCGGCTCGCTATATAAATGTGTAAAAAAAAAACTTTAAATCTACTCGCCAAGCGATGTTGTGCACTGGGTTTGGGACCCACCACGTAGAAACCAGCTCCAATGAAAAATGCAGCAACGCCTCGGATGAGATACACACTTTCTGTTGAGGACCCCTGCAAACGAATAAAGGATCACGATTTGAGGACATGCCGCTGGAATGTCCGGTCCCTTAATTCGATTGACGGGACCAGGACGAAAGCGGGTAAGTTCTTGTGACATTAACTACAGCGGCCATATAAAGGAGCGCAAATTTGGTGTTGGATTTATTGTGGGAGAGAGACTCCGTCGTCGAGTACTGGCATTCATCCCACATCAAACCGAAAATTTGAACATATCGCTGATTTTCGCCCACGCCCCGACGGAAGAGAAGGACGATTTGAGCATACTTACGAGCGCTGTCCCCGACGCGGCGAGAAAATTATGCTTGGCGACTTTAATGCCAAGGTGGGCAAAGAAGGTATCTTTGGTACAACTGTTGGACAATTCAGCCTTCACAACGAAACATCCTCTAATAGGATGAGGCTACCTGGCTGTCCCCAGATCGAAAATACTGCAGGATGGTTTTCTACTCGATTTGCACACCTGCTCCCTGAGGACACTCATCAGCAACCTGACATTAGGAAACTGTGGGACGGAATCGCAAACTCCGAACTGCTGCAAACCGAACCGAGCCCGAAACCCCAATCGATGACGATGGAAAAGACGTTCCATTACCTGACCATAAAGAAGTTCAATCAGCAATCGCCCTCTTAAAAAACATCAAAGCGGCGGTGAAGAGCTGACAAGATGCATGCATCAGCTACTTTGCAGAATATGGTCGAAAGAAAGTATGCCCGACGATTGGAATTTAAGTGTGCTCTGCCCAATCCATAAAAAGGGGTACCTCACAATCTGCGCCAATTATCGTGGGATAAGCTTCCTTAGTATCGATTATAAGGCCTGTCGAGCGTATTGTGTGAAAGACCATCAACAGTCTGATTGGTCTTATCAGCGTGGCTCTAGACTTGGTAATTCAACCATTGATCAGATATTCACCATGCGCCAAATCTTGGAGAAGACCGGTGAAAAGAGGATCGACATCGACAACCTCTTCTGCCTTTTTAAAGCCGCCTTCGACAGCACGAATACGAGCTGCCTTTGCGCCGCTATGTCTGAATTAGGTATCCCCGCAAAAATTATATTTATTTATTTTATTTATTTAATAATAATAACAAAGCATTAGTACAATAAGATTTCCATATCTTTTTTTAGTACAACAGAGATAGTGTGAAGAATAAGTAAATATTACTTTACAGATACATTAACAAAAATTATAATAATATATAATGAGCTGAGTATGACAAAAGCTTAAACAATTATTAAATGGTCAGTCTATGTTTGAAATTTGGCCTTTAAAATGCATATATATGTGGTTCCTCCTTAAATTAGCAGGAAGAGAGTTCCATAACCGACTAGCATTGACAAAGAACAGCCTTGATGATTGCTGTTTTTTCTGAAAAGGTATTATTATATTATCTTCTCTGGCTGACCGAGTAAACGATAACTTGGAAAAAAGACAACTAGGAGATTGAGTCATAATGAGCTTGCAAAGAAAAATACAATATATGGCCGTGTAGCTGACGCTAGACAACACTAGAAGCTCCGTCGAGCTGCAGAGCTGAATAGAGAAGGTACAATCTTTTATAAGAGTGCACAGCTACTGGCGTACGTCGATGATATTGACATTATCAGCCTCAACAACTGCGCCATTAGTTCTGCTTTCTTCAGGCTTGAAGATCTGGTAGTGAATGAAAGTAAGACGAAATATCTGCTGTCATCAAATAAAAAGGAATCGCATTCACGACTCAGCTCCCACGTCACTCATAACTTTGAAATCGTAGACAACTTCGTATATTTAGGAACCAGTATTAACACGCACTTGATTGGTAGAAAACACATTTTTAAAAATTGTACATCACATGAAATAGCTGTAACATCTGGTGTTCCTCAAGGCAGTCACCTCGGTCCCTTACTTTTCCTTATATTCATCAATGACCTTCCAAATGTTGTTCTTCATTCTAAAATACTCATGTACGCAGATGAGGTCAGGCTCTTTAAATCAGTTTAGTCTTTTGAAGATAGAAAGCTTTTGCAACTTGACCTAAATAATTTAGTTAGGTGGTGCGATGCGAGCTGTATGTCCTTAAATTTAAATATGTGCAAATATATGTGTTTCTCCAGAAAATCTTCCCAATCCTTTGCCTATATGATACATAATCACGGTGTTGAACAAGTTACTGACTTCAGTGATTTAGGAGTTACAATGGACCCTAAGCTAGATTTTAGAAATCATATAAATGCTTGTGCTAATAAGACAAAAGAAGATTTAGCTTTCATTAAACGTTGGGCTAAGGAATTTAAGGACTCATACATTACCAAATTACTCTTTACGTCACTTGTTAGGCCCATTTTGGAGTATTGCTCAGTCGTATGAAGTCTGTACTATCAATTGTATAAATTGGAATCTGTTAAAAAGCAATTCCTATTATTCGCGTTAAGAAATTTAAACTGGGATGCGTACAAGAACCTGCCTTCTTTCAAAAGTCGTTTACGGCTCATTAATCTGCCTACATTCCATAGTCGTAGAAAGATGCTTGGAGTTTTATTTTTAACTAAATGTGTAAGAGGTGCTATCAATAGCCCTTTCCTAATTATCGAGCTTAACTTTACCTTCCCGATAAGATCATCTAGACACTTTAGGCCCCTTTCATTGATCTCGTGCAGAGCAAACTTTGAAATGTACGACCCTTTTAGATCTTTGTGTAATGATTTTAAAACACATTTCCGCAACATTGATCCCTCTAGTTTTTGGCAGGAAAAAAATTCTACCGTTGCGAAAAACACTTTTTCTAAATGCAGTTTCCTAAATATATTATCTTTTAGAATATCTTCCTACTTGGCAGAAACCGTGTTACTTCCCTTGTTGATTTACAGCTGTATTGCTGCTTTTAACTTGCGAGCCCGAGCGCGGAACTGTTTCTTCCAATTGTTAAAGACTACAATGGAAAAATTTATTGCTTGACAATATATATAAACTCATAGTTTTAGATGGAAATCGTTGCAAAGCAGACGAAGGCTACAACATAGCCTTTAAAATAAGTGTTCGATATCAAGACTGAGGCTTTTATTTGAAATGGCCCTGCAAAATCTACTCTCGTTGTAGGAAATGGGAGTGTTTGTGTGCAACGCTCAGGAATAAGCCGCTATGATTTGCGTGCGTCTCTTTTGCTTGTAGACCGTACATGCCTTCCATTGACAAATGCACTTTTTAATCAGAGATTTGTACAGCTCTTGCCTGACCATTTGAAGCACCAAACATGTCTCTGCGTGAAGAAGCAGCTCGTGAATAAACTTCGAATATATTTGGCAGAACCTTGATTTAGTTGGGATGCTGATTGAGTGTATTTCATTATAGCTCAACGTGGAATGCGCCAACCTACCATTCACACGAAAAAGTCCATCTTTATCCAAGAATGGATTCAAAACGAGTTGTGAACTCTTTTGGGAAATTTCGATGATGCGCTCTTTTGCGGCGTTACATTCATCAAGTATCAGATGTAGCAAGGTAAGTAATGGTTGCCTTTTAGATTTATTTCGGACACTTTCCTCGAAACGGAACATATATGCAGTCACTCGAATCGCTCGAGGGTATGAAAAACGAATCTAGATAGTCTGGTTCATCTTAAAGCGCGTGATATGCTTCTACCTTACGCTTTTCTGGCTTTTCAACCTTACGCTGCGGGCTTTTGAATTTAGCCAAGAATCCGTGTGGCAAGAGAGCTACTTCGGTCC